TTAAACCTATAAGGATACCACTGAATTGGTCTCTTCTCGTTTGTTCTCATTAAACTATGGTTTAATCTTTGTGACACCCAAGTGACATAATCTGTCTGAGTGAAAGGAAACTTTCCAACTTGGTAGGGGATTGTTGGAACTTTATATATATATATATATATATATATATATATTATATATATATATATATATATATATATATATATATATATATATATATATAAAGGAATTACAAGTTGGCAATTTCCTTTGTATCCCACATTAGTGGGGGGAAGAAAATTTTGTGGGTTTATAATCTTATTCCCTTGATAGGCCTTCAAAGGTTTTAGTGGATCAAGGAATAGGCCAATCCCACGTGCGCGCCTAGCCTAGTCTAGCACTGGCCGACACCGTGAGTGCGCGAAATGGCGCGATTTAGGCGCACTTGGCACTTGGCACGATGCATCGGTAGCTGGGAGTTGAGGAGCGTTCATTTTTGGCGAGTTCGGGTCAAGTCGTTTTGACCGACCCGGTCAAACGGTTGACCTGAGTTGACTTCGTGGATAAGGTGATAGAATATTCTAGAAGGCTCAGAAAACGGCTTGCTTGGAGAGCAAGTCGTTTCCCTAGGGTTTCTAGGGGTCGGTCTATGGGGGCATGTTTCATGCCTTCTAGGGTTTCGATACCTATAAATACTACCCCTAGGAGTTGTATTGACTACTCACGAAAAATCGCAAGCCTCTCTCCCACTCTCTGCGTTTTTTCTTCTAGTTTTTGAGTATTCACTTTGTGTTTGTCGATTTCCAATGTTGTTGGAATATCGATAGATCTGCATTAAATCATGGGGTTTTACTCTGTTGCTTACAGCCAGTAGAAGTGAAGTAAAAACCTTTAAGGACAGGAATCCGATCCGTGCAGTTGTTTCAAGTTCAAGATTAACCATCAACATGTCGGTTTTACTTTTCTGTCTTGCATTTTAATTTCCTCCAACAAAAGGACAGTCTTCTTCTTCCTTTCTTATAATGGATCTAATCATGAAGGATTGATCTGGTTTTGGACGAAACTTGGTAAATATAACAAATAATAATTGGATTTGTTATTCGCAACTAATCGACTTATAATTCTCAATATTATTTGTCGGTTTCCTTGTGTGTCTATTAGTTTGATATACAACAATAATTGGCTTTCTTCTGCCATCTTTGGTACTCTTTTGGTGCTCTTGGGTTGCGTTTGGAATGGAAGATAATTTTACCCCTTGGATTTCTTAGCTTCTTCATTGCTTGACCCATGTATGTAGAACGACAATTTCTGCTACAAATTCTAATCACACTTGAGATAATGCCATTTTTCGTTGCGCTTTTTGTTTTTTCTCTCTTCTTTGGTATAGGATCATTTGTAGGGATAACTAAATTTGAACACTTTTTTGGAACAATAATGCATACATGCTGAATTTAAGAATCTCACGTCGCTATCATTTGTATATGGATGTTGACTTGCAGTTGTAATTTCCTTTTGTGTTCCATTGCTACAAGCATGGCTAAAATCATGAATTATATTATTTGTTTTTTTATGCAATCTGTAGTTTTTTTTGTAGCAGAGTGACCATTTCATGCCATTATTGGTTGCTATGGAAAGATGGTTTTCAGGTAAATGTTTTCCTGGATCTTTCCCAATCCCAACTATGTTTTGTGTCTGATGTATGATCTTTACTTCTTGATATATAATGTAGACAATGGGGAATGTTGAAGAATGAGTCAAAAACACAATTGAAAATTTGGGTCAGTTATGATGTGGAATTTATTAGTTTGAATAAGGGCTATACTGAAACTTTATTCACCTTGAAAGGGTTTTATGTTTCAATTTTCTTGTAAGCATGTATAAAGGTTGTACTTTTGGTATGTTTCACTAGTAGAAAAAGGGGTATTATCGACGGACTTAGAAAAACCAACTATTAGGATTTACTGACGGTTTAGCAACAAAATATATTCCATTGTGTCAAATCCTTCCAATAAATTGGAAT